ATTAAAGGGGAAAATAAAATAGGCCTTTTGGAGATAAAAACCCTTTTGATCCTTTGTTGATAAGGAATAACAATAATTAAGATTAAAACAGCAATCACAAAAAATACCCAAAGTGGGGGTATAGAGTCTAGGAGGGGACAGAGCTCAGGGACCAGCACAGGGGCTGCAGCTCCCAGTCACTGAGACGGGTCTCAGGTGTCCTGAGGTGAGAGCCTTGCAGGATGCTCAACAGCCACCATGTGTTACTGGGGCCATAAAGGGCCTCTGTCTTCCACCCATCTCAGATTCTATGTCCAGAAAGTTGGCAGCATATCATACAAACACTGGGTGGGTCAGCAGTAACTTCCTTGCCACCATGGCCAGCCCAGGATTCTTACCAACATGATGTGCTCTGTGATGAAGAGAAGGATGTGTCTGGGGTCTGCTGAGAACATCCCACTGTACAATTTCTCCACCAGCTTCTGGGTGAAGTGGGAAATGTTTGTGAGTGAAGGAGCAGTAGCAGCTTCTGCCGTCAGCTGAGGCTCTTTACTGCCTGGGGGAAGTTAGGGCAGTGAGGAGACAGACCAAGTTTGAGAAAACATCAGAGTTTCTTCCTTCTTCCACAGCAGTCTCCGAGACCCTCATGGTAATCACCCACACCTTACACAACCTGTGTGCCCCACTGGAACCCTCTGTACACCTTACCTCTCAGAAGATGGAGTCTTATACACAGTATATGCCCAATAACACACATTATTTCAAAGTAAATGGATCTTAATCTAGTCAGTGATAGAAATAGAATGGAGAGAAAGCAAGTAAGGGGCATTTCTTCCAGTGGCCATTTGTAAAGAGGATAGAGGAGAATTTAAGGCTTAAGGTAAATGAGAAGGCCATATTAGTGACCCAAGGCTCTGCTTCTATGTGGGGCAAAGAATTAAGCTGTAATTGCACTCATCTGTCCACTCACCAACACAGCAGGCACTGTGCTCAGATGGGGATGCGATAACCTCAGCTAATCGCTACAACAACCCTCCAAGTTAGCCACGACTGTCCTCGTGCACATACCCAGGCACCTTCCCAGTCACACCACCCTCTGGTGACAGAGCCAAGAGCAGACCTGGGACTCCCAAGTTCATGCTTTTCACCACTCTAAACCACTACACTGCAGACTCTCCCCAGGAAAGACCAAACATCAGGACTTCCATGTCATGGGGCAAGGAGGAGTCCGCAAGATGAGTCCTATCACTAAGGATTCTGTGGCTCAGAAACCACAGAGAGGACTTCCGTTGAATACTGTCGGGAAGGAACTAAGTATTCTGAAGGAAGCATCAACATGAACCTCTTAGGGGCAACAGCAGCATCTTCATTTAGGTTCATTCATTTAAGAAACATTTGCTGTACCCAGGCATGGGTGCAAAGGATAAGACAGAGCCGAGAAGATAAGACTAAGCAGAAGAATGCTAAATCCAGTTGATATCCTGACTTCCCTCATGGGGAGAGCACAATTCTATTGAAGCTAGAGGAGAACTGTTTTTAGCACAGAGGACAGAAGGACGTTCTGTCTCCAAAGACAGAGGCAGGGATGTCATGGAACGTAGCAAGCATGCCTCACCTGGACAGGGTCAGCAAGCTCTTGCTGTGGATTCATGGAGGCACGGCCACACAGGCTGTGGGCCATGCTCCAGTCCTGCTCTAGGGGGCTGGGTCAGTGACTGGTGCATGTGCTGGCTGTCCTGCTCGGCTGTCGGTAGCTTCGCGTCATAAACAGTGAGAAACAAGACACCCTCACTCACCTCTAAGCATGAGCGTGTTGCCTCCGCTCAAGTGAAATATTTCCATGGTGGAAAGCAGAACCTCAGACTGGAAGTCTCGCTTCTGTTGGCTGGTAGCATTGTCTGGAGAAGCCTAGAAGACACCCGGGACTAATACAGGAGCCCCACGGCCACCACACCCACACAGTGCTCTCCAGGCCCCCTTGCCTGGCGGGTACATTAATGCCACAGCTGCCAAGAGCATGGGCTGCCAACAGTTCACAGCTGCCCTTCTCCAGGGTATTGCCCACTAATAAGCAAGCTGTCTCACCCAGGAGGAGATTCACACTTCCCAAGGGGAGAAATCAAGTTGTGGGGGAGGGGCTCACAGCCAATGACCACCTGGCAGGTCCCTCAAGGTGGGGCTAATTCTGGGACGTGGATAGCACACCAGTGCTCCCCTTGGTGTGAGGCTGTGACAGAGACCATTTCCTGGCTATCTTCTCCCTCATCCCCTTCCTGCTTCCCTTGAAAGCTCTGCCCCCAGTAAATCATTTTCACAAAAACCCTGCCTCAGACTCTGCTTCTAGGGACCTAGCCAAGACCTGCCGACACCCATCTAATCACTCCCTGGTTGGTGAGCTCCCTGCTCTGCCCGGGCCTGCTGGTCCCAGAAAACTCCCTCCCACCATCTAACAGCAGTCCCAGGACACATTCCAAGCCCAGCCAGCTGGTCCCGGCAGGCCTGCGTGAGCTCTCACACTCTTCCCCAGACACACCTGCCCTTGTGGTGCTCACACCTTCCCAGCCGGCACCCACAGCCCACAGCCCAACAGTACCCTTCCCAGCGCACCTCCAGAAGCACCTCGAGGGGCAGCCACTGCTTGGGGTGTGGGGCCACAAGCAAGAGCTCCCTCAGCAGCAGCTGCATGAACTCCTTCAGATGCTTCCGGGTAGGATGTGACCTGGCAGGAGCCTGTAGACCCTCCGCAGGGCCGCCATCTTCAGCTGTAGCCCCAGGGCTATCGCCATCCTGTGCAGACTCAGTCACGGTTCCCTATAGACAGGGAACCCCAGTGAGAAGCCAGCAATGCCTCAAAAAGCCTTCACATATACCTCTGAGGTGGGCATGGGTGGGATCTCATCAAACCCATTAACACGTAAGGGAACTGAGGCTCCAAGGAGACTGGCAGCATGTCCAGAGTCTCGTGGCTCAGAAAATGGTCCACTGGGGTCTCCAAATCCGAGATAGGTGGGGGTCATGGAACGAAGCTGATCATGGAACAAGAAAGCCTGCAGTGCTCAGCGATGAAGCCCAGAAAGTGTCCTGGACAAGCTGCCTCTCTCCTCAGAGCCACAGCTCCCCATCAGTCACATGGTGACAATAAAAAGGGTCTCACAAAGATGAGGGAGGATGCAATGGGAGAAGAGTGCACATGGCGAGACCTGGCCCCGACACAAGGTCCCGAAAGCCACCTCTGCACTTACGGTGGAGCCCTCACCTTTCCTGCCTGCCAGGCTCTGCTGATGGTGACAGGACCCTCAGGTGAAAGCGAAGTGGGACTTCAGGGAGTCCTGGCGACCAAGCCCCTGTGGCACGTTGGCTGTCACTTTCTCATTTTATATTTTTAAAAATATGGGGAGATAAATGAGATAGGCTTATTAGCCCACATATGTCCAGGAGGGCACAGAGATGCAGGGAGGCCGAATGACATGGCCAAGGACACCCAGCTGGAGACTCCTGGCTCCCATGAGCTTTGCGTGCGCATTCATCTGTTGGCACCTCCTTTTGCCCATTCATAAAATTAATGCAGCTATTCTTAATTAAGCCATAAAATGAATTTAATGGCACCTAGGGAGGTGGTGACTGCATTAATTAGCTCCGTGCAGCCTTGACTGGAAAGATGCCATGTAAATTCACAGCAAATCGAAGGGTTTTGGCCATTGGCCTTCTGCATGAAAAGGATCTGTCATGTTTTCTGTGCAACAAAGGCCTTTTGAAGCTGACTGGGAGCTGGGACAAGGCAAGGAGGTGTGGGGATAAGTGCTCTGGAGCTGGATCCAGGAGCCCTCAAACAGGGCCTGTCTTATCCATGTTCTGCTGGGGAGGTGACTTTGGGCCAGGCCCTCCCTCAAGGCAGAAACCATTGAGGGTGGGGAGGAAGAGCCCTGGGTCAGAGTGTGCTTGGTGGCTGCTGGTGGGCAGCCAGCTGGAACCCCGACTCAGCAGGTGACCAGCCTGGCCCAGGGGTGTAGGGACTGAGGCGGTGATCTGGGCTCAGAATGTCAGGCCATGGACTCCAGGGCCCAGCCCCCTCCTGATGGCCCACTCTTTAGGGGGGCTTTTGTCCTTGCCCCTGCCTGACCTCTGTATGGGGATCCCATGCTCTGCCCCACAGGTGCCACCTCGGCTCTTTATTGCATGTTTTCCTACTCTTACTTTTCTTGTTTCTTACTTCAGTTGCCACTAACCCATCAGACCATTTTCTAGTCTTTTATTACAACTAATTACTTTTAACTTTTATTTGGCCATTTCATTTTACTTCAAACTGACTAGATGGAAAGAACATGGGCTTTGGGGTAAGGGAATGAGGTTTAAATCTTGTGTCTTTCACTTACTAATCACATAAACAGTGGCACATTTCATTCTCTCAACCATTTTGTGAGATGGACCTTGTCACCCCCACTAAACCTGGAGGAAGCTGGTCAGCACCGCTTCCCCACTCGGAATCTCCCTTTCCCTTTACTACCACTGCCTGGGAAGGGGGCCTGTTAGGGTACCAGACTCAGGATAGCTGCAGGTGTTCAGTAGATGGAGGCTGTCAGCATGAATACAATTATAGAATAGATGAACTAAAAAAGCAAGTTTCTTCACTCATTTGGTCATTAGCAAGTAACTGCAGAGCTAACGCGACATGCTTACTGTGCTTGGCATGGTTTCTAAAACCTCTGCCTACCATGGTCTACCTGTCTAACATCTTCCTTCCACTGAAGCTATCGATCTGCCAACAGGCACTGCTAGCTCACTCCCCCTGTCTGGGCACCAGCTTCCTACTCCACCAAGGTGGGGGGTGTCGAGCGGATTTCTCCCCTTCCTTCTCCTACCCCTGCCCTTCACACCTGTCCTTGCTGGCACCTCAGGTCCCAGATGCTCTTAGCTCCCTGAGTCTCCTTGGCCTGCTGGACTGGCTCTAGGTCTCATACTCACACCTCTTCCCAAGCCCTTTCTCTGCCTCCACACCCACACCTTGCCCTGAAGATCCAGTCTGTCTCTCTGCTCCCACAGCCCTGCTCATCTCATCTAAGATCAGCAGACCCTCTGACTGAAGGGATTTCTGAGTCGTGGCTGCAAACAGGACAAGTGTCTTGAGAATAAAAGACAGGATGGTCTTCCAGTTCTGCCCTGCACCTGTCTGATGCATTGGCCATAGGTTTCCTGGGATGGAATTTGTTGTTTCGCATTATCAGTTTGTGGATATTCCATAAAGCACTGGATTCAATTCACCATCAGATTTCTCATCACTGAGATTCCTAACAACTCAAAAAAGTGTTGAATCTTAGAGCTGAAAATTACCACACGATGCATTTCAGTCAAGAAAAGGAATATTACCCAAGTTTTTTACTTGATGTTTCAGCCAAGTTGCCTTAAAATATATTTAATTTGGGGGGACAGGGAGGAATTTTGCCCTTTGCTCTTGAAGGACGACGATGCATACCCCTGCTCTTATTCAGTCGGGGCAATGGTGTGTCCTACCTTGTGCATTCCCACAGGGAAGGTGACTGTGGCCAAGGTCTGGAGGAACTCTGGGGCCCGCCAGGCTGGATCCTGGGGGTAGGTTCTGTGCACAAGGCCGAGGAACTGCAGCATGCTGATGGGGAAAGTCCTCTCCCAGGGGCCATCTTCAGGACTTGTAGGGGGCTGAAAGCACACTTTATGAGAGGCAGTGCAGGGGAGCATGACTGGGGGTGCACAGAAGCCAAAGAGCTTGAAATCTAGGGACAAGACCTCCTTTCTGGGACTCTCAACAGGACACTCTATTGCACAACACTGGAGACTATGGGATCCTGGGCATTAGTTGCAGAAGGGCAATATGTGCTGGCATCATTCTAAGAGCTTCACACATATTCTTCTTCCTGCATCATAACAACCCACTGAGATAGATTCTACCTTTAGCCCTGTTTCACAGGGGACAGACAGAGGCACAGAGAGGTTAAGTAGCTTGCCAAAGGTCACCAGTGGATCCAGGAACTGAACCCTAGCAGTCTGGCTATAAAGTCTGGCTGCCTTCCCCATACTGCCTCCATGTGATTAGATGGCTTCTGTGTTCAAGGAACTTGCTTATCAGGGTTGATTCTTGCCAGCCTTGCCTGGCCCAGAGCTAATGCTCCCAGCTATAGTCCCTACCCTGGCTGATACTTGGACCAGCCCTGTCAGAGGTTGATAGAGCTTGAGGCGCCTCTTCTGCTTCAGTCAGGGGTTGCAAAAGGATTGTACTGTGCAGAGCTGATACCCAGTACACTGCAGGGATCTGGTACCTGTTTGCCTCCATTACCATAACTCACCATCAGACACATGGTTGATCCCCCATTTCTGCTACACACTAGGGTCCCACCAGCTTCCTGGAGCCAGCAGTGCCCAACCACTCTGTCTGGAGACTGACTGTCATCCCCGTGTGTCCAGGACAGTGAGGAATGGGTCTCACCTGGCTCATGGTGGCTTTCAGCATTTCCAGGAGCAGCAAGGCCCCTTCAGAGCACAGCCCAGCCCGGAGGACTTCTTCCCTGTGGTGCTTCTGCAAAAGCCACTGAAGCATGGCATCCAGGCTGTCCTGAAAGGGGAGGCAAGGCTGTGCAGAGGCCTGCAGCTACACACCATGGGCTTGGCTCTCCAGCCAGTACATCATGTTCCCAGGTGGCCCCAGTGGGAAAGGCAAGATGGCCCAGGAGCTGTCCTGGCAACCGGCTTTATGGGGAAATTCAGCCTCCTTGATGATACATCAGGGAAAGTCATGCCTCCAAGAGGGTGCTGAAGACCCTCTAGCAACTTCTCTCCAGTTTACTTCTTTTGGTCTGACATCACAAATACTCAGTGTTGCAATCAAGTTTAGTGAAGTGTGAGATTATAGAAGTTGTAGGATGAATTGAAGGGCTTTGGAGAAAAGTGCAGAGTAAGGTGGAGAGAGCATGGGGTTGGCAAGCAGGATGCTCTGACTTTGCCTCTTTAAAAGCTGGCCTGATGCAAGCTATTCAGCATGTTGGCAGTTCAGCTTCCCTCTCTGTGAAATGAAAATTACATTATCTACCCCATGGGATTATTATAGATATCAAGCAAAATAAAATATGTAAAACATCTATGACAGGTCCTCACACTCAGCAGATGTTTGTTTCCTGCAATACTTTCTTGGAGAAATAAAAAGATGGGGCTTCAATGAATTTAGCATGGCATAAGTAAGAACTTTATTTTAAAGTGTGCTCTATAATGCTATTAGCATAGATCAAGATTTAGGTAAGTTAAATATAAGAGTGCACAAGAAAAGTGAACTTTTTAGACTTCTATTTGCAAAGCCATGCCACTCCATCCCATCCCCCATCTCAATTCAGTGCAGTTTAACTCAACTGAAGACCCAGGAACAATTTCTGAGTCTGCTACTTGTCAGGTGCCTAGCAAGGTGGGTAAGAGGTGGGGTCTGTTCTTGAGGAGCTCAGTATCTAAGGAGAATGGCAAACACACCACTGTGTTAGGGCCACCTAAGGGGAAGGCATGCTAAGACACAAAGGAGGGAAATGTTCCCTCTGCCCAGTGGATCTAAGCAGGAGGTGGCATCTGAGGGAGGACCAGGCATGTGAGGGTGGAAGAAGAGCTCAATGCAGCACGAGGCTGGGAAGCACAAAGCAGCTGGTCTTGTCGAGGAGGTGACTCAGGCTCCCAGCACGAAGGGCAGGTGAATGAGGAGATGCGCTGGGGTCAGTCACCCAATCACAAAGGATCTTGATGGCGACTATGGAGTCTGAACTTGATCCTGCAGGAATGGGAGCCAATGAAGCCTTGGATTTGGGGTGAGTGAACGAGTGAGTGACCAAATAGATGGTGAGAAGGTACATACAGTGCATGTAGGCTCCTTTTTGGAGAAATTTGGCCAAGGAAGGACAGGAGAGTGATAATGGGACACGGCTGGTCCAGAGTGTGAATCAAGGGGGCAGCTTCTGGTTTGGGAGGGACATACCTTATTGCATTATTAGTCTGTGAGGGAAGAATGGTGAAAAGGAGATGCTGAGAATACAGAAGAGAGAAGGGCTAACAGGGCAGGGTCACTCAGGAAGAGCTGCAGGAATCCAGCTCGGCCTTGAGCAGCTGCCCTTTGCCAGGAACAATAAGAGAAGGTGATGAAGAGGGTCCTGGAGTAAACAGGTGGCAGAGGGCAGGGTCTCAAGACAGTGGTCCCCTTAGGGGTGCCTCCACTCCCGGTGCAAGGTAAGTCATCTGAGCAGAGGGTGCCTGGGGGGCAGAAGACTCAAGAGCTATACTAGAATACAGGGAAAGAGCAGGGGCATTACTAAGGTAAAGGAACATGATTTTCTGAAGGTGTAAACTAAGGCTTTAAGTCTGTGCTGGCAGCAATTTGCCTCCCCATGACACCCCACCTGTGCCCAGGACAAAGATTTAAAAGTGGGACTGATAAAAATGGAGACCTGCTGGGAGGGATGATGGGAGGCAGAGGCAGTCGAGGTCTTTGAAGAGCTAGCCACAGTGAGGGAAGTGGGTCAAAACATAATACAAGTTGGAAAAATGGAGGGAGGTAAAGGAGGACAGGCTGAGGCAACCAGACGGTCTTGATCACATGGGCTTAGTAAACCAAATGTGTCATTCCTCCCCAGGGGCACCCCAAGAACCTACTTTGGGCCTGTCCATCAGCTCTGTTAGTGGCGTCTGAAGGAAGAAGGTGGACACCATGAGGTAGACTTCTGGAATATGAACATGGTGGGCCAGAAAGTCCTTCAAGACCCGGAATCCAGGAAGCAGGCAGGAGTTCTGGTCAGGCATGGGAGGCTGGCTCTTCAGGTTATCTATTGATCAGGTGGAAGGGGCACAAAATCCAACTGAGAACAATTGTTATTGCTTCTGGTCAAGGTGGGGATTGGACACATGAAGGATTCCCTGCCATCTACCCATCCCACAGAAATGCTGCAAAGCAATACAGGTCAGACATACATACCCACAAGAAAGTGCTGAACATGAATTCCTTTCCCCATTCCTCACATTCATACATTCATTCATTTAAAAATGGATGCTTATTTAGTGCCTACCATCTCAGAGGTAACAAGGCAACTTTGCATTAAGCACTAAGAACTTAGCCCCAGCCCCTCACCAAGTACTTACAGTGTCGTGGGAGGGGCAGGCATTAAGGAATGAAATACCCAAATAAAGGTATGCTTGTGAATTGTGATAAGTACTATGAAGAAAAGCAGTAGAGGCAAAGAGAGTATAACAGGGGTTCCCTAATGCAGGAGAGCCTCCTCCCCTGAGAGAGCGGCATTTGAGCTGAGACCTGAAGGATGGAGCCACAGAAGCCAGGAGAGCCGCACTGGTGTTGTGGGTTGGGAGAAACATCCCAGGAAGAGGATCAGAGCTAAGGAGGCTTCCAAGAATGGAAAGAAGCCCCTAGGGTCTAAAGAGCAGTGAGGTCATAGGGGGATCCTGAAAAGGAAGTCAGAGGGGGCTGGGGCCAGTCAAGGGCCAGGGGTCAAATTGATCCTATTGCACAGAACTGTGAAGGTCCCAATGGGGGAGGAGTCTTACAAGCACTCTGCCCCCTGGAGACGCTGCACACTCACCCATCACAATGTCCACACCCTCGGAGCTGCGTTCTACCCAGGATCCTGCAGACAGGCCTTCTTTAAATCTCCCTCGGAGGGAGGGGCTTGACAAAAAGTGCAGCAGCAGCTTCAATCCCAACACAGTGGTGCTAGGATGCAGGTGGCCCTGGACAAATAGCAGGAACCAGTCAGGCCCCAGGTTCAGAAACATCTCTTCCTTTGTCCTGAAGGGGCCAATAAATGCAATAAGTTATCTCTCAGTCCATGAGCAAATGACATGTCCAGAAAACATAAATAATGTTCACCCTCACCAGTCACCTATGAAAGGCAAATTAAGGTTAACATCTGGACACCACTCAGCAGAGTGCATCTTACACTGTAGAAGAATGGTAAAGTAAAAGGCGGCAAGGTTGCTGTGAAATGGATGAATTTGTCCAGTAATGGCTGAAGTGTAAATTAGCCAAAACTTTTCAAGGCAATTGGCAACTATGCATCAATAGATATAAAAATGTATGGGCCCCTCCATAGCCCTACTCCACTAATACTCATACTTAACAGTGACTAGCCACCTATCTAATTACATCAGCATAGTCCTAAAACTCATAATGGATATTTAATGCCCTCTTTAAATACATTGGTTAAAAAACTTTAATGGAATATTACAATATTTATGCATCTATGTTGGTTTAGGCAAAAAAAGTATATGTTTAACTGTCACTTTCAAAAATGAATTTTAAATGGGTGAGTCTGGAGAACAGAGACTCGCTAGAGGGACCTGGACAGCAGTGAAGTAGGCAGCCAGTCCTCAGGGGCAGTGACTCAGGCAAGGAGAGCCTCCTGAGGGCCAGGGAAAGTGCATCTTTGCTGGGCATTGTTTGCAGCACCAGCTGCCAGACTGGGCATGGTGAGGGTGTGACTGGACTGGGTGTCAGAAGACTGTCCTCTCTTCTGCCCAGCCTCTGTTTATATAACTGGATGACTTTGTCAGCTCTTGATGAGCTCTGGTCACTCTCCTTGATGATGAAGGTGAGGATGATGGAGATGATAAGGAGAACGGTGATGATGGTGGTGCTGGTGCTGGTGGTGATGACAGTAACCATTAGCTGAGGGAGTATGTATAGCATCCCAGGTCCCATGCTCAGGGCTGTCCACATAATAATTTCCAAGTATGGCAGGTACTATTTTTAGTTTCACATGGATGAGTAGAAGTGAGGCATATAGGGCTTAAGGAACCTCCCTAAGATCTCAGGGAGCAGAGCTGGGATTTGAACCCACAAGGTCTAGACATCGAAACCTTGGTGCTTAAGCAGTATACTATATTCCCTTTCCAAAAATGACAAAGGAAGGGACTGGACTAGTTCCTTTCCAAGGCATCTTCCAGTTCTACCATGTTTTGATTGTAGAATGTAAAGACTTTTAAAACACTGTTTTACTGAGGGGTGACTCCCACCCTACTCTTTCCTCCCCCAAACACACACAGACTAAAATGTCACCTCAGCAAAAGCAACACTCTGGACAGACTTGCTGAGCGTAACCCACTCAGAGCAAGGAAGTGTCTGGCACACAGTAGGTGCTCAACAAATGGCTGCTGACTGAAGGACTGAAGAGTTAGAGATAAAGCAGGCATCAGCAAGAGAGAGCTAATGGCACTTATAGTTACACATTGTTTTGAAAGCTAACTGAAGGCAGATACTGCTTTTTTCGACTTGGAAAAAAAAACTAAATAACCAACAGCACAAAAGAAAAGAATTTGGCAAGCCTTTCTCTTGATAGATGGTATTTAGGCTAACCATTTCTCCATTCTATTGTTTGCCAAGTACAGGACGTCAATATCAGTGATTGTCACAACTGCCAAAACAATAACAATTACACTATAACAGTGGTGACAAAAGGAGTTTATTGTAATTATACCAAATCTGTTTTGAGTTACTCATGCCCATTAAACACTTGCATCAGAATATCTTAAGGCAAGGTTTGCTTTATTGGGTGCAGAGAATGTAATTTGCTTTCTGACTAGTGCAGGGAACACATTGCAGAAAACCAACTTGGAAATGCTAAACTTTTCATTAAGAAAAGGTTTTAATACCGTACCCTGTGTGAGGGAACCTCGTGCCAAATCACTCTTCCTGGAGCTACTTACTCAGAGGACAGATGAAGTTGGGAGGAAGATATTACACTGAGCAGCATCTCCAGCAACTGGTTTCTGAGCCAGATTGTCCTTCCAGATGTTTGGCTTCCAGCTACAAAAAAGAAAATTCAGATTTGAGAGAAAACGGATGTAAAGAGACATAATGTTTGCTGCAGTAAACAATCATATTCACCAAATGCTTAGTTCACGGGGAATCTGGTACGGATGAGATTTGAAATTCTGGCATCCAATTCTAGACTTCTATGCAACGCTTAAACAGAATTCAGGAAATGTTCCTAAAGTTCCCTTTAAATAGAGATGTTTTTATATTCCTTATGCCCAGAAAAACTTTAAAATGATAAGGTCCAATTTACCTTCCAGTAGAGGAATTATTTAACTTATCATAGGCTGCAACATTTCTTGAGCACCTCTATGTGTTATCAAAGACATTACACAAAGCACTGAGAACAGAGCGATGAAGATTATGGTCCTTAATCTAGGTTCCTACTCTCAGTTTGCTTCCAGGCTAGGCATTTGCCATGTAGATATTGCACTAAAAATAAGAGCTTGAATTGTAGAATTCAGAATGCAGGCCATTTAAGAAGCAGTTGGCTAAATAAACTCACAGAATGGCCCATTCCCTTGATTGGCCAGTTATTTTACAACCAATTGGAGCACAGCCACCATACTGAAGAAACAGGACTGACAAGGCAGCTTGGGGAAGTGGAGTCAGTATTTCCTTCTAGTTGGATTCTGGCTCCATCTCTTATCAAATTCCAAAACTCTCTGAGCCTCATTCCTCATCTGCAAAATGGGAATAGTAATTCCTACTTCTCAGGCTTGATTGGAGGAAAAGAGGCTTTTAGATTAACACTGCCTAAGAGAATCTTTTGCTATGATAAGAATGCTCTATATCTGCCCTGCCCAATGCAGTAACCACCAGCCTCACATGATTATCAAGTTATACTTCATGTGGCTAGCGTGTCTGAAGAACTGAATTTTTAATTGCATTTAATTTAAATTAAATAGAATTGAAATTGAAATGGCCACATGAAGCTAGAGACTCCCATCTTGGACAGTGCAGATCTGGAGGACCCAGGACAAAGCCATCAGTAATTGTTCCTTTCACACCTGCCCTAGCAGAGGGAATACAGAACACTATGTAGGTGCTGTCCTCCCTCTGGTTGGGAAGAGAAAAAGATGCAAAGAACCAAAACAAATCACAAAACCAGGCACTAGAGAAAGTCTAAGGGCTTTAGGAGCACAAAAGAGGTGACTCAACCTGGCTTGGTAGGACAGCAAATGGCTAATCTAGTCAGGTGAGCTAGGGCACTGGGGGACAGGGGAGGCATTCCTGCCAAGCAACAGCACATACATGTAAAGCATGGATGGAGGACAGGCCATCACACATTAGATTATGCAAGTGCTTCAGAGTGCTGAAGTCAGGGTTGGTCAGGGGAGCAAGGGTGGGAGAGATTCAACCAGGAAGGAAGGCAGGAGATGCAGCAGGAAGGATCCCACCTGCTGGTCTTCAGGAAACTGAGTTTTATCCTAGAAGCCTTGGAACATTCCATATAATTTGATTTGATATGTGAACCTATGCATAAAATAATGACCTCACAAGCCACTACTTAGGAACAACAGCCCAGATGGAGGTCTCTTCTCCCTCCTTTGCCTCAGTTCTTCCTTCTGCAAAATGGCCCCAGAGCATGTGGCCCTCAGACTGCCTTCAGGCTGGTGTCAGGGAAAGGTCTTCTCACCAGGCACAGAGGGGTCCAGGGCTCCGTCCACACAGATCTGCCTCTCATTCACTGATGAAGGCTTCAGGGTATACACAACAAACAGCCCGATTCTTAATGCAGAGAAAGAAGAATACACTCAGTGGTAAGCTCAGCCTTTGCTGAACATACATGACAGTTGTCTATACAGGTCCAAATGTAACTTCAAGGGAGTGTTTAAGGGGAATCACATCATTCTACAATCAAAGCAATATTTCCAGAGACTTTTAAAAATGTCAGGATTCATCAGAGTAGTTAACTCTAGCTCTACCAGATCAATAGAACAGACAATGATGAGGACAGAAAAGGCTAAATATCACAGCAGCTGGGAGTATCTTTTGGGAAGTCTGCAAAAAGCAGACATGTTAGAACATCAGCTGGTTGATCTGTGAGCATCAACTGTGCTCATGGAAATTCTTGAATTCTTGGCATAGTAGCTATGTCCAAGCACCAGTGAACAAGGACCACACAGCCCTGCTGGGGAGTCTATCAGATCCACTCCTTTGTCAACTCATCCCAGAACAGAAGCCCCTAAAAACGCACATGTGCTGGGGAGTCTGTCAGATCCACTCCTTTGTCAACTCATCTCTGAACAGAAGCCCCTAAAAAGTTCCCAAGAAATGGAACCTGCCATGACTTTGATGGTAGTAATGCTGGGTTAAATGTGGTCATGAGACAGTGAGGGCCTATATTCTCTTGTTAGATAGTACCAAGTGTCAGCCCCTCCCCCTTGGCACAGTACCTGAGGAAGTCCTGGATGCTGAAGTGGCCCCTCAGCTGACAGCCCAGAATGGCAATAATGGTGGGGATCTTGCAGGGGGTGAGGCCCGGCTCATTGAAAAGGAAGACGAGTTTGGGTATAAGTTCTGCCTGGTGAGCAACTTCAGCATTCCGGGGTCCTTCCCTGGTGAGTCCAGGAGAGAGGCAGTAAAAGCTTTTACTGGAATGAACCAAAGTTGCTGTATTTCTGCTAAAAAGGTTTCCCAATCCAGGCTTGCTTCATGGCCCTCTGATTCCAGTGCTTTCTTGGCAACTCATCAAAATGCTGTCAGACACCCATCGAATATGTGTCTGCCAAGTGCTAGAGCAGCTCAGGGATGAGCCTTCCCTCCCTACCCGCTCTCCCCCGGAAACTGCCTTCAAAGACAACCCCCAATTATTGATTTTTAAATTCCAAGCCTCAGGGAAAACTAATGCTGGTCTCAGAAAACTCAGAACAAAGCCAGCAGATGCGTGTGAGACTGCAGAGCACTTCCCAACAGCCAGAAGCATGGGGCCCACATTGAGCCTGTCTGGGTGTGTTGCTCTTCCTGCTTGCCCCAAACCGCAAAGTGGATGAACACACTGCTGAGAGTAAAAGGGGTGAAAGAATTCAAGCATCCACATCCCCCTCCTCAGGATAATCACAAGTCCAATTTCTAGTAAATTCTATGCCCCTAAACAAAACAGCTCCCAGGGTAAATGCCCATCTCTTAGAAAACAATAGGTACAGAAAGGGGAAAGTGATGGGAAAAAAAGGCAGAGGAGGGTGAATTGGGATGGATTGTTCTTCTTGAACTGTTCTTGCCAGTATAAATATGTTAAATTCTCCCAAGCTCCACATTTTGATATACTGGTTTGATACACCAAACCAGTTCCGTGTGCAATTTGTATTCATGGACTCAATAGGGAAGGTGTGTACTTATCCACCTATAAATACCCACTGTCTTTGGGACTCTTTCCTATCCCAGTGCGGAGCACCTGCTTTCCTGTATTCCTTCTCCACAGGACTGTGTCTTGTTCTTCTTTGAACTTCCAGCACAAAGAACTGGGTGTGAAATAGAATGCATTTGCCCTTATTCTGGTCACATTCTGATCTGTTCCCCTGGTTTTCTTTAGGAACAACCTCTTTCTAATTCCCCTCTACCTTCTCCAGAGGTCACACTAGGGCCTGGCTACCTGACCCAAGATGGCCCAGTGAGACTCCATCCTGTTGCTGGGACTGCCAAGAAAGAGAAATCCTTTCTGCTGAGTGAGGGTATGTTGTGAGGAGCTGTCCAGCAGCCATTCTTACTGACTATGCAAATGAAGCCAGCCTGGAAAAATCATACACAAGATTGGTGACAGATCTCAGATAAAGTGATGTGAGAACCATCCAGCCACATATGAAGATTTGTCCATTCAAATGCAAGAGTCAATAAATTCCCTCTTTCTCCTCCTTTCTTTCTCCCCATAGCCACCTTCCTCTTTCCTCCCTTTCTTCCCTCCCTAAGTTGGTTTGAGTTCTATATCTGTCACTTGAAACCTGAAAAATCCCTGAGTAACTAAAAAAGCAACTTGGAGAAGTCACTTAGAGGAAGCAGGAGGCAAATGGGACCCTGAGAAGTGTTTTCCTTTTCTGACCACAGTTACTGAGCCCCTGAGAAGGTGTTAATTTCCAGAGCTAGTAAGACCCCTCCCAAGACCCCAAATCACCAGCAGAGAAAGACTTCTCCCATGTATGCGACCCATATGAGAAGGACATTGCTATAGACTGAATGTTTGTATCCCCAAAATCCATATGATGGAAGCTCCATGGGGTGGTATCTGTAGGAGATATCTTTGGGAGTCAATTAGCACCCTTATGAAAGAGATGCCAGGGTTCCCTTACTACACCCACTGGATGAAATCGTAGTGAGAATGATCTATAGCCATCTATAAACCAGTTAACCAGCCTTCATCAGACACCCTATCTGCTAGTGCCTTGATTTCAGACTTCCAGCTTCTAAACCTGTGAGAGTAAGTCTGGTGTTTGTAAGCCACCCAGTCTATGATATTTTGTTATAGCAGCCCAAACTGATTGAGACAGACATGCTGACACAGGGAGACCCAGAAGTCTGTGGTTACTGAGCCTGCTCTCTTTCTCCCTGTTAATGGCATGAAGCTGTTAGTTCTAACCCCCAGACTGCCAAAGCCCATCCTACCTTGGTGATCGGAGGATTTCCACAAAATGGGAAAAGAGGGAGAACTCCAGGTTGTCTGCAGTATTCATCCAGAGCTGGAAGACAGCATACACACAGTGAAACCAAGGTGTATGGGAAGAAGAATTTCTAGGCAGTGTGAGCAGTTCAGGCACTAGACACGCTCTCCTTTGCCTTGGAATCGCTAACACAATTTACCAGCTCTGGAGTCACACCAGCTCTCCTGACACCTAGAACATAAAGGGCACCTGCCCTGAGGGAAGCTCATGCACCATTCCTCCGCCCCATCTCTGCTGCTGCCTGCGCTTCACTGTGGTCTAGATCCCAACCAAGGACACTTGTAGTCACCTATGTCTGCCCAGCCCTGGACCCTGCATCCCATGTATCCACATACCAGATATCTCATCCTCATTGGATCCAACAAGGCAACACCAGTCTTCCCATGTTAAGAGTTGAGAAAATAGGCTGAGACTGACCAGTTAAGTTACAGGACCCATTCACCACCACAAGGGGTAGGAATGGAATGAGAAACTGGGTCTCACCTTTCTGGTTTGGTACTACAGCCACTATACACCCAGCTTGTGCAGGCAACACTTTCTTCAGTTCCTGTATCCATAAAACCTGCAGCACAGCACACATTCCCTTCTCCTTTACAATGGCATTAAGAGTGCTAGCAGACATGAAATGCACTGAGATTCTGAGAGTGAAGTTTATCACTCAAGTTGTTTTCATTCACAGTAAACAAAATGCAGCTCCTAACCATCCTTCTGGGGCAAAGATGATGGCAGCCTTCTTGTCTTGTTTCTACTTCCCTTTAGAGAATTCTGCTATTTCTTATCTCTAAATACTGATATTCCCGAAAGCCCAGATCTAAAAGATTCAGATGTGGGATTATAAGAGTATGTCCATATAGCAGCAAAAAGAGCCCACACTTCCAAATGAGACCATTTTCTGGAGACAAGAAGTGCCATAATGAGTCCTAAAATGATACCATTATCTGTCTGTATTTAGTAAACAAGAATGAAGTTCAGAAAGACTAAGTAACGTGCCTGGCACCCAATGGTTTTTAATTGGCTGAAGCTGGCTTCAAAGCCTGGTCTGTCTGACAGTGGAGCCCATTCTTGTTCTTCCTCCTACAGGCATCTCCTGAAGTCAGTGACCTATAAGGTCAATAATCAGCCTCACTTGAATCAAGCAGGTGGCCATGGCTCCATCCTTTTACTTAAGAAGGAAAGCAAAAGAACTTCAGTGGACACAAATTTATCAGGAGACCCATGAAGGCAGAGACCATCCCTCTCTAGTCTCAAGGCCTAGCACCACACGTGCACATAGTGGGCACTTCATAAGGATCCATTTTAAAACATTTTAAAAAGTGAATGCAAAGTGAATCTAAGTAAAATAAATGTATTTTTTTTGACCCAGCAACAGGATGATGAATTTTCAGCCCCTGCAAGCACAGCCATGGCCCAGTACACAGAGAGGCAAGGCAGCTACCATCTGGGAGAGCTGGCATGGGCCGATGTGGCTCCAGTGGGGTAGGGGTAGGCAGGCAAGTCACCCAGCATACATGTCTGTAAGGCTTCAAGAGCCTTGCAAACTTAGAATATTCATTCATGAAGGCAGTCATTGAGCAAATGATACACCATGCTCAGCACTGGGAGCCAGGAGAACTGAGGAAGTAAGACATGAACCTACCAACCTGTGTGCTCTTGTGCTCCTTACCTTTCCCACAAAAGCATGCCCCCATTTCCTTTCTGGCGCATTAGAACAATAAGAAGTTACTGTGGCATATTTGAGGCTGCCTAGCTCTTTTAGAAATTACATAATACCAAATATATGAACTAGGGGAAGCATGAACAAGTGAATCTTTTGGTTATTTTTGGCACATAACCCCTGTACTGAGGACTTCACTGAGACATCTGACTTAGATTTCCTTGAAGAGCCAATAAATAATGTGCCAAATTCTGTTCTTTTCCCACCCCTGGGACTATTCCCTCTCAGAATGAACTGGCCTGTCCCACCTTCAAGAAACCAAAAGCCTCAGACTTGAAAACCCTCAACTTCCTGTCTCTCCCTACTTCTCACCTCTCTGTCCCTCCTCTCCCTCTCAACTGTCTGTCCCAGTCTTTCATGGATTCCACCCCTTTTCCTGAACCTACTCTGTTGTCTCCACACAATCCCTCTTATTTAGGGATTTGTCCCATCAATAGTTGATTGGGCTGCTGGTATTTCAACCATATTTTTTTTCTTTTATTTATTTTTAAATTTATTTTGGTCTCATTAATCTACAATTACATGAGGAACATAATGTTTACTAGACTCCACCCATTATCAAGTCCCGCCCCACATACCCCAGTAGAGTCACTGTCCATCAAAGTAGTAAAATGCTATAGAAACACTACTTGTCTTCTCTGTGTTGCACAGCCTTCCCTGTGCTCCCCCCACATTATGTCTGCTAATCGAAATGCTCCCCCTTTTATTCCCCCTTATCCCTCCCTTCCCACCCATCATCCCGAGTCCCTTTCCCTTTGGTAACTATTAGTCCATTCTTGGGTTCTCTGAGTCTGCTGCTGTTCTGTTCCTTCAGTTTTTGCTTGGTTCTTATACTCCACATACAAGTGAAATTACTTGATACTTGTCTTTCTCTGCCTGGCTTATTTCACTGAGCATAATACCCTCTAGCTCCATCCATGTTGTTGCAAATGGTAGGATTTCTTTTCTGGTTATGGCTGCGTAATATTCCATTGTGTATATGTACCACATCTTCTTTATCCATTCATCTACTGATGGACACTTAGGTTGCTTCCACTTCTTGGCTATTGTAAAGAGTGCTGCAATAAACATAGGGGTGCATCTGTCTTTTTCAACCTGGCTGCTGCATTCTAGGTTAAATTCCAAGGAGTGGAATTCCTGGGTGAAATGGTATTTCTATTTTTAGTTTTTTGAGGAACCTCAATACTGCTTTCCACAGTGGCTAAACTAATTTACATTCCCACCAGCAGTGTAGGAGGGTCCCCCTTTCTCTACAATCTCACCCACATTTGTTGTTGTTTGTCTTTTGGATGGTGGCAATCCTTACTGGTGTGAGGTGATATCTCATTGTGGTTTTAATTTGCATTTCTCTGATGATGAGGGATGTGGAACATCTTTTTATGTGTCTGTTGGCCATCTGAATTTCTTCTTTGGAGAACTGTCTGTTCAGCTCCTTTGCCCATTTTTTAATTGGATTATTTGCTTTTTGTTTGTTGAGGTGTGTGAGCTCTTTATATATTTTGGATGTCAACCCTTTATCGGATCTGTCATTTATGAATATATTCTCCCATACTGTAGGATGCCTTTTTATTCTATTGGTGGTGACCTTTGCTATCCAGAAGTTTTTCAGCTTGATGTAGTCCCACTTGCTCATCTTTGCTTTTGTTTCCCTTGCCCAGGGAGATATGTTCATGAAGAAGTCACTCATGTTTATGTCCAAGAGATTTTTACCTATGTTTTTTTTAAGAGTTTTATGGTTCATGACTTACATTCAGGTCTTTGATCCATTTGGAGTTTACTTTTGGGTATGGGGTTAGACAGTGATCCAGTTTCATTCTCTTACATGTAAGTGCCCAGTTTTGCCAACACCAGCTGTTGAAGAGGCTGTCATTTCCCCATTGTATATCCGTGGCTCCTTTATCATATATTAATTGACCATATGTGTTTGGGTTAATATCTAGACTCTCTATTCTGTTCCACTGGTCTGTGGGTCTGTTCTTGTGCCAGTACCAAATTGTCTTGATTACTGTGGCCTTGTAGTAGAGCTTGAAGTTGGGAAGCGAGATTCCCCCAGGTTCATTTTTTCTTCTCAGGATTGCTTTGGCTATTTGGGGTCTTTGGTAGTTCCATAAGAATTTTAGAACTATTTGTACCAGTTTGTTGTAGAATGCTGTCAGTATTTTGATAGGGATTGCATTGAGTCTGTACATTGCTTTCGCAGGATGGCCATTTTGACAATATTAATTCTTCCTAGCCAAGAGCATGGGATGAGTTTCCATTTATTAGTGTCCTCTTTAATTTCTCTAGAGAGTGTCTTGTAGTTTTCAGGGTATAGTGCTCTCACTTCCTTGGTTAGGTTTATTCCTAGGTATTTTATTCTTTTTGATGCAATTGTGAATGGAATTGTTTTCCTGATTTCCCTTTCTGCTACTTCATCATTAATGTATAGGAAAGCAACAGATTACTGTGTATTAATTTTGTATCCTGCAACTTTGCTGAATTCAGATATTAGTTCTAGTAGTTTTGAAGTGGAGCCTTTAGGGTTTTGTATGTACAATATCATGTCACCTGCAAATAGTGACAGCTTGACTTCTTCTTTACCAATCTGGATGCTCTGTATTTCTTTGTTTGTCTGATTGCCATGGCCAGGACCTCCAGTACTATGTTGAATAACAGTGGGGACAGTGGGCATCTCTGTTTTGTTCCTGATCTCAGAGGAAAAGCTTTCAGCTTCTTGCTGTTAAATATGACGTTGGCTGTGTGTTTGTCATATATGGCCTTTATTATGTTGAGGTACTTGCCCTCTATACCCATTTTATTAAGAGTTTTTATCATGAATGGATGGTGAATTTTGTCAAATGCTTTTTGAGCATCTACGGAGATGATCATGTGGTTTTTGTCTTTCTTTTTGTTGATGTGGTGGATGATGTTGATGGATTTTCGAATGTTGTACAATCCTTGCATCCCTGAGATGAATCCCACTTGATCATGGTGTATGATCCTCTTAATGTATTTTTGAATTTGGTTTGCTAATATTTTGTTGAGTATTTTTGCATCTATGGTCATCAGGGATATTAGTTTGTAATTTACGTTTTTTTGTTGTGTCTTTGCCTAGTTTGGGTATTAGAGTGATGCTGGTTTCACAGAATGAGTTTGGAAGTATTCCCTCCTCTTCTATTTTTTGGAAAACTTTGAAGAGAATGGGTATTATGTCTTCTCTATATGTCTGATAAAATTCAGTGGTGAGTCCATCTGGCCCAGGCATTTTGTTCTTGGGTGGTTTTTTGATTACCAATTCAATTTCGTTGCTGGTAATTGGTCTGCT